GTATTTATGATCTTAATTAAATAAATAATGGTGCTTATGATCGTAAGGTGGTCTAGTTATAACCGTAGAGGATCTATGTATAATCTCAAAATCGTTCAGAACCTTATTTTCGATTTTATAGTTTCTGGTTATAATCTTAAAAATTCTTTATTGTCCCTCGTTATGGTCTTACAAGCGTGGATATATGTGTGGAACTCGTTTGAAACTCTTAGGACTGTTGTCAAACTCATTTTTGAAATATACAATAAAAGAACAAACTGTAGGGGTTGAATAAGGTGAAAAAGATCATCGTGTATTATTTTCTTTTTATCGTCTGCACTTTAGTTCTTTTCATATTAGTTTGTAACGTCATTTTAGTAGAAGTAAGTTTTAATTTTTGTTCGTAACATAGCGAATGTCGTAATGTACAACAGTGGTGTGCCGTGCAGTTTGAAATGGATAGTAATTAATAAGTAAAAACTTCGACTCTATTTCAACTAAATTTTCTTTATATAGAAAATTCTTCATGCTGAAAATGTTTGGTTTTGATCGAGAATGTTGTTCGCGATTAATCCCGAAGTTTTGTGAAAGGCCAGTAAGTAACAAACATAAGGTTGATATGAAACTATAAATAGAAAATCTTATTTTTCTTCCATTTATGATGTATACTCCAGTCTTAATTGTCTATGCTTTATTAAAATCAAATAACATCGAGTATGAAAGGCAAAATCACAGGTACGCTAAAAATTAACATTAGCTAGTGAAAATGGACGCGTTCTCTTGCAAATGATTAACTTGAAGGTACTGCTTTAAAAATCGGCGAATAAAACAAAATCTTCTATTGAACTAATTGGTGACATATACCAAACATCGCAATCATCAAACTGTTCAAAATTTTGAGTATCCCCGCTATGCAATACACTCGGAATAATTGGAGGCTAAACAATAGAAAACGAAGTTCTTTTGAGATGATTCATATTTATTTCATCAATAGACTAGGAGTGCCATACTACAATCAGGTTGTTAGACTTAAGCAGAATCAGGCAATGTTCTTGCCGCAAGAACATTGTCCGAAGGACTTCTTCCATTGAAGAACGCTTCTCTTCGTTTGGTGTACGTTTTTTACCTGTAGTCTTCGATCGTAAACATATTCCCAGTTAACATTTTTGAACCATCGATGATTTTTAACATCATTGGCACCATTTTTCATATTTCCTAAACGTTTTGTTCTATCGTGGATAATCAATTTTTTAATCAAATGTTTTGCTACAGGATCAACATATTTCGCAGGAAACTTGGCATTTTCTTGTAAAATTTTTTGATAAATATGAAATGGATTATCATCGATAAATGGTGGTTGACCAACAAGAAATTCGTAAATTAAAATGCCGAGTGAATACCAGTCAACGGCTGTTGAATGACCATTTGACAATATGATTTCCGGTGCCAAATATTCTGGAGTACCCACAGTCGAATAAGTTCTGTTAGAAAGAGATAGTTAGTGTAAAGCTTATGCAATCTTACCCTCAATTCTATTCTAATACCTATCATGGATATATTTCGCAAAGCCAAAATCTGTTAATTTCAAATGACCGGAAGAATCTAATAAAAGATTTTCTGGTTTAATATCTCTAAAATTAATTTGAAAACTTGACATAGGTGATTTGAAAGTTTACAGCAAGCAGGATTTCGACAGTTTCATTAAATATTCTTCTGTCAATTGACAAGTTAAAAATGATCGATGAAGGATAGAAAGATTGCTTATTTTTTAGATTTGATTGAGATTGTTGAAAAAAAACTTCTCCTTCTATCATTACTCATAGCTCGTATAATACACAAATATCTGTAATTTGACCAGGGGCGTACCACTACTGGGTGGTGACGAGGTGTGGTTACCATCCTCCTGGTTTCAGAAAAGTCATTGTTTTGCGTCTTTCGTTCTTTAACAAAGCATTTTTCGGAAGAACGAAAAATGTTTTTGGCAGAGTTCCCTCTCTGCTCTAAGATGCTAGCTACGCCCTTGAATTTAATCTGTTTCAAATTGATAGATACCTGTATGCAATCGAGAAACTATGTAAATATTCTAATGCAAGAATAATTTCACACGTATAAAATTTTGCTATATCAGTGTTAAATCGAATCGATTTTCTTAAATATGAGAATAATTCACCACCAGGCACATATTCGAGTAACAAATATAAATCTCTTATATCTCGATCAGACCAATAACTAATGATAGAAATTATATATAAAATCACTTTTCCAATGTGAGAAACAATAGATCTTACAAATTAACAATAAAAGGATGTTTGATGTGTGCTAGAATCTTTCGTTCATTTTTAACATGTTCAGTTTGTTTTAATCGTACAATCTCTTCAATTGACATCATTTTCAGTGCATAATATTCATTTTTAGTTCGATAGTGAACTAATATCACTCGTGCAAATGTTCCTACGCCTTAAAGGAAATGGAAAATGCATATCTACAACATATTTCGTCTTACTACTTACCGATGGTGGTTACAAAATCACAATATTTTATTTTATTTTCCTTTAAAGCCATGTTTCGATTTGCCACCAGCGAATTGTTTCACAGTTTTATACATAATTCATTTCACTCTGTTAAATAATATAGAAAACAATTTTGAGTTAAAACTCTCACCAAACAACTAGCTGGAAACACATAATTTTAATTGTTGGTTTTGTCTTGTACATGACATGACATCCTGCTACTAATCTATTATATTTATGTTTGTACTATTGCAGTAATCGTTCTTTTTTTCCTCTTGTTGAAAAACTACATATAGTAATACACCCTTCTTTGATGCTGTAAATATGAATGATGGAGAGAAAAAATATAGCATATAGGTACGTATATACATAGAAGAAAAAATATCATTATTGTTTCTTTAATAGTGGAAAAGCTAGTTGTATCATTTACTACAACAGATGCAAACCACATATACTTTAAAACTCTTTAGTAGATCTTCGCCACAGAGGAATGAAGAATAACCACAATTAAAGAATATATAAAGCTCTACTCTCTCTATTCAATTGCTTGTCTGATATCTTTCTGATCGAAGACACCACTAAGATTAAGCTTTCACTATTCAGTTAGAGAAATCGTAATGATTCCTCTAGCTTGAATGTAGGATAATATAGCTGAGAATGAAATATTCTTCATATCAAAATATTAGCTATAACATTTATATTAATCGCACTGGTCGAGTTTCTTGTTCTAATTCTTGCAAGATTCTTGTCTCTTGTCATTTCAGCCAAGAATCATGAAATTGATTATTGGCTGAAATCACAAGATAGAAAGTTCAGCCAAGAATCTTGTCCTGTAATTCTTAAAAGAATTTTGTAACCAAAAAGAATATCACTGGTCGACGTTCTTGTGAGTATTCTTGCAAGATTCTTGTTTCTTGGCATTTCAGACGAGAAACTTGTAAAATATTTTACATGTATTTTATCACAAGAATCTTGCAGGAAATCGCTTTCGTGTGAGTTCATACAAGAATCGCGAGACGGATTCTTGTCTGAATTGACAAGAACGCGATTTCCTGCAAGATTCTTGACTCATTTTTCCTGCAAGAATCTTGTAAACAAAAAGAATGCGCATATAATCCATTTTTCATCTTTTCTTTTCATATATATAGAAGCTGGACGCTCTGATGCCAATACAGGCACATATAAAGACTCCATTGTCTCCCGACAAGAATTTTATGAGATTTAAAGGAATAAACATCTATGTATAGTATTGAACTATATTATATAACTTATATATAGCACGGGAATTGACAAAACAAATTGGTGATTTTGTCGTCAACGGCTCTTGCCATTCCAGACAAGAATCTTTAACGAAAAAAAATGAAAACTCCATAAAAAATTAAAAGAAGAATCTTGTCTGATCTGTCAAGACAAAATTGAAGATTCTTGTCTGAAATGGCAAGAGACAAGAATCTTGCAAGAATATCCACAAGAACATCGACCAGTGATAATAGTGCATATAAAATCCATTTTTCGTCTCTTTTCTTTTCATATATATATTGTATGGGAGCTCTGACGCTAATATAGGCACGTATAAAGACTCGATTGTCTCTCGACAAGAATCTTGTGAGATTTTAAAGAATTTTTACAGACATATAGGCATAGTATTGAGTTATATTATGTAACAGAGACCGTTGCAGGACAGGGCAACAAAAAATTCCTCGATTTTCCCTGCGAGAGATTGATTTTAGAGATTTTCAAGCTTCTTTTTAAGTAAAATTTTGAGATCTCTCGTATCTGTGAAAATAAAAATGATAGCCAACTTTTCTTTCCAACTTTTGGCGTCCTGCCTAGCCCGGCAGGTCCAAAAAAATCAATGAGTAATTTTTTGACAGGGCAGGACAAAATAGAGCAGGGCGGCAGGACAGGACCAACGAAAAAAGTTTTCCTGCGACGGTCTCTGTTATGTAATTTATATATAGCACGGGAATCGACAAAACAAATTGGTAATTTTATCGTCAATGTATCTTACCATTTTAGACAAGAATATTTCACGGGAAAAGCTGGAAAATCTATAAAAAATTAAAAGAAGAATCTTGTCTGTTCTATCAAAACAAATTTAAATATCCTTGTCTGAAACGGCAAGAGACAAGAAACTTGAAGGAAATAGGACAAGAAAGTCGACTGGTATTTTTCTTTAGGCACATAAAAAGAAACAGAACATATGTTCCTGGCGATTACTAATAGAAAATGATTAGGATAGAAAAGTATGATCATTCTTATCAGAAAAGCAATAATATATGATAGTAACTAATGAAGAATCAAGGATGGAGAAGAAGAACGATAGAGCTATTTGTATTTAGAATGAGCAGATCCATTGTAGTGAAAGAAAATTCCATTAGATTAAACACTACTTGCCTTTTTCGGTATATAAATAACAAAAAAACCTTCAAAAAAAAATAGTGTCAGCGGTGGGGTTCGAACCCACGCCCTCATACGAGGACCAGATCACTCACACCTTCTTTATAGGAAGGAAGACAACTGTCTTGAGTCTGGCGCCTTAGACCACTCGGCCACGCTGACGGTATAAATGACTTGATTTTTCTGCTTGTATTTGGACTTTCTTTTTAATAAAGTTAAAAATATAGTTTTATTGAAAGTAAAAAATACTGATGTTTCTTATTCACTTGATAGAAGTTGGTATGAGCACTGACGACTAAGTGCATCCGCTATAATGTCACACTGTAAAAAATAGTAACAGCAAAAACATAAAAAGTCACAGTAAAAACGTTGTATCATGAAACAAATGTCACGTTTTAACTGTGACTTTATATATATTTTGTTAACGTTTTTTCTGTGGCAATGTCGCATCCTAATGACATCTAAAAACAGATTTTCCGTGACATCACTTTGTATTAGTTAAAATAGACCAGTGGGATGAAGATAATGTCATATTTTTCCCGTTACATGTCACGATAAATTTGAAAAACGAAATGTCCGTGGTTTTTTCACCTACTTTTCTCTGAACCACAAACAAAAGTTCGTCGATCATTGAGTAAGGTCCGTGAAGTATGTAATCATGGGCTTTTCAACCTGGAAGTTGTCAGTCAGATCTGTAATTTTTCCGTGAAAATATGGATTAAAGTGCGTGAAAAATTACCGATCTGACCGGTAACTTGCAGGTTGACAAGCTCGTGATTACATACTTCACGGACCTTACTCAATGATCGACGAACTTTTGTATGTGGTTCAGAGAAAAGTAGGTGAAAAAACCACGGACGTTTCGTTTTACAAATTTACAGTGATCGTATGTTTTTCCTGTTGATTGCTGCATTTCTTTTTGCTACAGTTTGCGGAAAGGTGGTGAACATTACAAGATACTGCATAGCCGGAATGAATGATTACTGTTCATCGGAGCAAACAACTTTTTTTTCTTTATTGGAAGAACAACTTATATTGCTATGATTTAGTCCTTTTAGACAGTGTTGGCGTCAGCTAGATCCAGCTTTGACCTTCCTCGGAGCAAACGTAAAAGTTGTTCCGTATTCTAAAGAAGCCACGTAATGAAAATGTTGAGAAAATTCGATCGTTGCGGCTCGATAACTTTTATTTTACCCTTACTGTACAATTTATAATTGTTAAGGAAGCTTATAGAAAACGAACAAAAAAGCAAAAATTCACAGTAATAAAACATAAAAATAAAAATGTAGACCTCTTCAGCGATCATGGAGTCAGCTAGGTCCAGTCCTGAACTTCCTTGGAGTAAAAGCGATAAAAAGAACTTTTAAAAAACAACTTTTCTTTAATTTCTTCAACGTAGTTCATAAAATAAGAAACGCAGAACAACAACGATGAAGAAGAAAGTAAAAATCGTCGTTATTGATATTATTGATAACGACTAATGACTCTTCATGGCTAAATGTTTTTATCTGATACAAAGGAAAATGGCCGTTATGCAATTTATTAAGTAAAGCGACATTCTAATATTTGCTTAAAACTACCATAAACCAACTCGTTTGTCAAACGGTCGGACAAACAGACAGTTGTACCTCTAAGACTAAGATAGTTTATTCAAGAAAAGTGAGGGAAACAGGCAGTTGTACCTACAGTTGTTACAGTTGTTGTGTGATAAAAGGGATTAAGCCAATAAGATTAATCATCATAGCGAAATTAGTCTTGATCAGAAAAACGCGAAGCATAAATTTGAAAAAGTGAAGTGGTGTTTTTCATTTTCGAAGTGAAAAACAGAGTAGGAAACGACTTTTACAAAGTGGAAGATCGCTTTGCTTTCGTAGAGACCACCAATCATTAGAAACACTGTCTGGCATTGTGATGACGCTGAAAATCTGTGGTTTGAAACGGGGAAAATGTGATAATATGACGCGACAGAAAAAATGTGACTGCAAATGTTGACGGCAAAAACGTTGAAAGTAACATTTTTTTCCGGATGTCACGATAAAGCCATTTTATTCAACGTTAAAAAAGTTGAAGACAACGGTAAAAGTGTGACATCCCGAAAAAGCAACATTTTTAATGTGACTTTGTCACGAATTTTACGTGACTTTTTTTTACAGTGAGCGCAACACGAAAACCGTGACAGCAAGAGATGACAGTGAAAACGTTTAAAGTAACGTTTTCTGCTAATTTCCCTTTAAAATTTTGAAACGGCACGACTGTCAAGGCTATCGCCAAGTTGACAACTACAAATACTGTGTATATCGAAAGTTCTTTAAAAAAATTTCTGCTTTAGAGAGTAGAGAGAATTTGATTTGATAATTCGAGGAAGTATCGAATTTTAGTTCATGAGAAGTGCAACAAGCGCCACCGTCATTTTATAGTACTCAAACAGTCCTGGAACGAAAATTTCGTTGAAGAATAAAAATTGTTATATTTGTCTTAATTTCTGATTTTCTAGTGAGAAGAAACTTAGTTTAAGCAAGTTCTTGTTCAAGTTAGTTTAAGGAATTTTATTTAACTTTAACAGTACACCTTGGTTAGTCTTGAATTCATGCCAGCAACACGTTCTAAACGTCGCAAATTATGCGCGCATCATAATGATTCAAAACGTCAACGAGCCGCCAGTCCATCACAAGGATTAGATGAGGAACTTGAGAAACAAGTTTTACGCACGGCATTAGAAAGAACTCTCAATATTTCAACAGATCCGGACTCCACCAAAAAACAACTGTTTGATCTTTACAAGCGCAATCTGCACAAGCTATCACCAGTATCGACAGCTATGTGTACGTCACAACTATCTCAAATGATAGCGCCAGCAACAACATTACCATCGTCATCTGCACCTCTAGACCCAACACAAGCGAATGATCTATTACAGCAATTGTCGACGAATTATGAGTAAAGTCGTACTCATCGTATGAGTACTTTCACTAGGGAAATGTTTAGGGCCCAATACTGAACTGGAATATCTCGGAATTTTGTTGAACACTGTTATTATGCAAGCAAAACTGCCTGAGTACAAACGCTTACGGGTCATTGAGACCGTAGAAAATTTTGCAACTAGACGCAAATGCACCAAACGAGAACTGCTTTCACTTATCGGTCATTTAAGTTATGCTTGTAAAGTTGTAGGTCCCGGTCGGAGCTTCTATTCATATCTATTAAAATTAGCTTACTCCGTTTCTGAACTGTATCACCATCTGTATCTCACCGCAGATTCCCGCATTGATCTTCA